CAGCCACTCTTTGGGTGCGGCCATCATTTTAATAATAGTTTCTCAAGACATTCCAGACCCGGACACAAATGGGGACCTTCTTTTTTCCCAATGACATAAATCTCCCAGGATACCAGGGATACAAGAGATCCATGTTTAAACTCAGCAGAGATTCTGTTCCACCCTGAACCCCTGGCAAGTGCCATTTTGGAGTGTTACAAAGATGCCATGGCAAGACCTCAGCTCCAGACTATTTGACACCCCTTGGTGACACGGTAAAACCACTTTTTTGTATGATGTAGGTAACCCTGGATCTGAAAGACAAAAGATTCTTCGTTGTAAGGGTCATTTTAAAAATGTGTTTAAGATTCAGGCATAGTGTTTTCAGATCAGCTATTGTGCAGTTCGTGTTTCCAAAATTCTGTTTCACTCTTGGATTCTGCCTCTAAATATAAATCTCTTCCTTCATACTTGTCCTGTTCTATATATAAAGCACACCTACATGTGATAAAGCCTTCTGCCACAGCAGTAAGGCAAGGGCGGGGGAAACGCTGTAGCTAACCTGTGGGAGCACTGAATGCACTTGGCTGTTGCTCATAATGATCCAAAGATATAATTATCATATGCATGATGAGTACTACATCTGCCACATCTCTTTTGCTTAAATAAATAAAAGATTCCTTAAACACCACACAGCTCCATTACTGGGAATCTGTTAGCCAGTGAGGTCACCAGAGGACTTCACACTCTCAGTCTTTTACCTTCCACCTGTCAGGCTCCCCATAATATCTCTTGTTCTCTTTTCCTCCCCCTGCCAACCCTTTCCTATGAAAGTCCTCACCATTCCCTTTGCAATGCCCAGTTTTCTCCTTCATGGCAATTTTTTATTCCTTTTCTTTGTCTTTGCCTGAGCGTTCTTTCCTGTTGTCTATAAACCTGATCCCTTACCATTTGTAGGTGGCACTTTTCAGGTGAGAATTCTCAGTGAGAAGCTGGGATAGCTTTGACAATAAGGACATGCTTTGTAGGTGCTTCACTCGTCAACCTTGTTAAAGCTCACTTTGTCTCTGCAGCATAATTTAGCATTCTGTTCAGCCAGTGCATTATTTCTTCTTTATCAGGTTCTTGTGTGTATCCACTGCTTTCCTTTAAAGAATTTCAACCTGCTACTTAGTTTTTACCCTGGGCAAAAACGTTTTTTTTTTTTTTTTTTGGCTTAGACCATCTGCTGGTGAAATGTTCCTATCACTAAAATCTTTTTCACAGAAGGAAAGTGACCCATCACTGAGTACTTGTCAGTGACTGATGTCCTTGAACAGGGACATGACCATTTTTAAGACTGCTACAGAAAGTAGCGTTAGATGATTTGAGAATTACTTTGTCCCATGTCTACTAACAGTGAATCCATTTTTAAGCCAGTATAGTACGACCTTTGCTGATGGTTGTCAACAATGAATCACTTTCCTGTCATAAAGAGAACCTTAAGAAATGCTTCAATCCAGCAGAAATGGCTTGTTCATAGTCACTCCCCAGATTCTCATTTCTTCTGTTATTGGTAGTGGATTTCGCAGCTTCCTAAATCACTTCTGACTCATGTCATTTCATCCACATACCTTGCAGAGCAAGGTCATAATTAAAGAATTGGGGTCTATCTCTAGCTTTGCCTGCACCTTCTCATAAAAGGTTAATGATATTATTTAGGTGAATAAATCTGAGTGCATGGAATTGGATATTTAAACACATATATAGTGGGAAGATGACCAAATGTTCAGGAATGTTTAATTCCCAAAATTTCATCGATGGTAACAAAATCTGTTAATCAGAACCTTGTGAGTTCAAACCCATTTACACAGATAACAAAGGTAAGTGTTAAGTTTGAAAATATATGCCATACACTGTTTTTTCTTCAATTGCTGGGAAAAAAGAAAGCATTATTTTCCCCATGTTTTCATAATGTGCTTATATATCCTGAAGTGACAGGTGATGTGTGAAAGTAACAAATCTGTCTGGATAAAGTCATACATATTTTAATACAAGAAAAACAAACCTAGTGACTAAAAATAAAAGAGTCATTCTTGAAAAATAAATTTGGTAGCAGATGTAGAGTGCCCCTAATGTTAGACCAGTCTTTTACCCAGGAAAAAAGCTAGTTCATTGATGTCCGTAGGCGGTAGAATTCCATCAGGGCATAATTCCCGCTTCATGACTCCTGCCAAAACCCAAGATTTCTATATCAAGGAATTCTATCCATGCCCAGCGCCTACATTAACTTACAGGAGATTCAAAAGGAAAACAAGATCCATTAAAAAATTGAGCTTAACTGTTTCTTTCTGTTACTATTTTCATTAAAGCCTGGGAGGTATGGGGCAGCTTCAGAGACTTTAATGGCAATTCTTATCTTTCAGGCATCGGATCTCAAAATCAAAGTTTAGGTAAGTAAAAGTGACTTTTGTTTTTCCTCCTTTCCATTGGTTTTGTTCCTTATTTTGTGAAGTGGTTTGCTCCTGCATCTGTGGGGTACAGTGCTGATTCTAGAAGATACTGCCAAACTTGTCAGATTTTAGTCAGTCTTCTACCAAAAATCACAATGCTTTTTCTTAGTTTCATACTAAAACAAGGCATAGGGACTATTGATGGTATTTCACACAGAAGTACCTATCTGATTGCTACCTACGTATCTCAAGAGATAAAATATAAAAGCAGAAGAATAAAAAGTTCAACCACATAATTAAACTACATCCATCAACATCAATCCTGTCAGCTCAAGGTTCTCTTTCCTACACTTCATTGCATTACTCTGCTTTGGTTGATTGTAAATCTTTCAGCTGGTGAGGTTTGCATCTTATTTATGAAATTCTCCCTTTCACCATGGGACATGTGGAGCTCTTCTGGTGGTGTTCTTTCTGTTGACTTAAAGCTTTCAAAAATGTGAAGCAGTCCCCAGGTGGTCATCTATGGGTTTCCCTTGGAAAGGCTGACTGGACTTGTGGAACTTGGTTGTTGACGTCCCAGTCTATTTCCACTTCTTCAGTAGGAACCTAGCTGCCTCCATAACTCTAAAATAAAAGTCAGTTTTATAAAAAACTAAATTAATTATTTTCAGAATAACTGGAACAAGTGAGCAACTCTGTCCTTCAGCTTACCTAAATAAAAAAACAGTAATACAATAGAACACACATGTGCATATATGCTGCCTATATGCATCCCTGTGCAAAGAGCTGTGTGCGATGATCACATTTGTATAACTTGTGGATTTCTTTGTATGTAGATGTAAGCACAAAAAAAACCCACTGGTAGCATCACGTGGCCATGTGCATGCAAATTTGTGCACAGATACACACAAAAGTATGTAGATTTGCTAATGATTTAAAGACAATGTGAAAGTCTAAGTGTTGTGCCCATTTTGAAAGTTGGCAAGGTCAGTACATGTCCCAAATCCACTGCAAAACACACAAACCTTATTAAATATTTATGCTGGCTAGACTGGGTGCCTTTATAAATTGCATATCTAAAACAGCCTGGATTTGATTGCCTGTTAAAATAGTCTTGCAAAATTCTGTGCCAGCGTACGATGTTCCCGTTGCCTGGCTTTACTTCATATAGATGCTCAACCCCAACCTCAAGCATGGCCATAGTTTGTCACCAGAAATAATACATCAGAGAAGACTAGCTAAGAAAATTTCTGTCTTCTTGTAATGTGTTGTGTGTGTGTCTCTAAAGAGACACAAACACACACATGGACGTGCATGTATATAATATCTATATAAAACTATTAGATTTATTATACAGTGGCAAGTGTTGCCTGGAAACTGGTTGCTATGCAAGTTAAATTCTGAAGAGTAGGAGGTGTGTAATTAGCTTTAAATATCTTCTGTGGTTAGTAATTACCCTCAGAAATCAGTGACACAAGGGGATGTGTTCATGGAAGAAAAACTTTTAAAAGGTCTGTTGATTAGCAAATAGTATCCTTAGTTCCAGGCATGAAGGTGAGATGCTGAGGTTCCCTAAGTTTTGGTTTTCTGTTCAGAGTTAGACCTCGTATTGGGGCTGACTCCTGAACATTGCTGAATGTTGGAAATGTTCCACGGATTTTGTTTGACCTCACCTTTACAAAGGCTCAATCCAAAGGTCCATGGTATATAGCGGGTACCTTTTCATTGACTATCCTGAGGCTGGGCAAGGTTCCTTTGCAGGCCACAAACATTAAATGCAAGAAGAATAGCTATTTTGGTGGGAACAGGGCTAAAAAAGCCCTCTCAGGGTGGCTGTGCTACATGTCTTAATCAGATAAAGGTATTTCTTGAAGAGGAATTCACCCCCCAAGTGTTGCAAATTGGCTTAAGACTAACTAGTCCTATAGGTAAAGGAAGGATGATCACAACCGTTGATTCAGATGAGAAAAAGAACATTTCTCAGAATGAACTTTAAAGTTATTCTCTACCACTCTTGAACAATACATCACAACTAGAGTCTTTCTTGACAGAGATTTGCAATAGCCTAAGGATCCCTACCTGAAAAGAACGTTTTCTTTTCCAATTTTTCAAGTCGCTACTGGCGCCGATGGAATCGATTCTGCAGAAGAAAGTGCCGTGCTGCTGTCAAGTCCAATGTTTTCTACTGGCTGGTTATCTTCCTTGTGTTTCTCAACACCCTTACCATTGCCTCTGAGCACTACAACCAGCCAGACTGGCTCACAGAGGTTCAAGGTAAGAAGGGGCTCATGGTTCTGTTTATTGTGGTCGGTGTTGAAAAAGGAGCTCAGGAAGGAGCTGATGGATTAGCTCACACAATGGAAAAGGAGCATACACAGCTCCAAATAGTCCTCTGTCTGTGGAGGATCTTAAATAATACCAAAAATATCTGCCTAAAATGGGAACATTTTCAAGGAAAACATAAGTTTCTTATTTCCAGCTAAAGCAGAGTCCCACTCAGTGTAGGTGAAATCAGAAGCTTACGCTAAATATATATTTGCAGCAACTGGATTTCCCATTTATGCATAGCTACATGGAGCCACAGGTTCTCCAAGGTTTTTCCTGGAATGGCATTTATAACAAATTCTAGTTATCAGGGAGGTGAGGAAGAGTGATTTGTAAAGTTCTTCTGTGTACAGAGCAGTTGAATCCCCACTGGAGGTGAGAGCAGATGAAAGGCTTTATTAAGCAACAGTAGGTAGCACAGCAGCTCTTCTATTCCCACTCTCATCTGCAGATGACAAGTGTGATGGGAGGCTGGGCACAAGAAGGCATGTCCCTGACATGGAGGTTGTGTGGTTGTGTAATACATCACAGCTGTATGTGCAATACATAAGAAACACTGTAAGCAGCTTTATAAAACGTTTCTGTGAATGAGATGCTCATGCTTTTGAATTCCATTCTTTGACCCAAGCTTATATGAAGTTAACCTTCCCAGAAAGGGGTTCCTTATAGTCGAGGGCCAGTGGTTAGCTGTGATGACCTTTTGAATAAGTTTCATTAATCTATTTCTGTTTGTTTTTCATAAGACACTGCCAACAAGGTGCTGCTAGCTCTTTTCACTGCAGAGATGCTGCTGAAGATGTACAGCCTTGGTCTCCAGGCCTATTTTGTGTCCCTCTTCAACCGCTTTGACTGTTTCATTGTGTGTGGAGGAATCCTGGAAACGATTCTGGTTGAGACAAAGATCATGTCACCACTGGGCATTTCGGTGTTGAGATGTGTTCGGCTCCTAAGAATATTTAAAATCACAAGGTACTTTTGTGTTTCTTTGGGAATGAAAGAGAGCTACTGCTCAATGCACAACATACATAGATCCAAGTCACTCACATCCTTAGGTTTTCACTTTTTCTAACACTAACTGGGTAGTGAGAGTGCTAGGTTGATAGTCCTCATCTTCTGTGGCACAACAGGGAGAGCTGTACGGACTGGATATTCCTGACGTGAGTGGTGAGGGATGGTGAGGAGTCTGGCATAGGAGCCTGGAGACAGTTGATAGCATCCAGATTGTTAAACTGAAATCTGGAAGGATAATGTGAGCTGAGCTTGGGCTCTTGCTGTTCCCTGCAAAATACAAAGTAAAAACAAAACAGCAGATAGCCTTGTGACCTTTTCTGTTGCTTTATGATGATGGAGAGGAGCTTGAAAGATGGCTTTGAGCCAAAACAACGTTTGACTGAGGAGTCTATGCCAGCTCCAGTAGACTCAACAGTGGCCTGAGTGGGAAACAGTGTCAACACCAGCAACTACAGGCGAAGGATATTGCCAACCCTTCTCCTTCAGAGGACTCCAGCATCAAGCAGCAGTTTTATGTAGGAACCAGACGTTTCCAGGCTTCAGTCTCACCTCTTTTTCCTTTTTTCTTCTTTCTCCGCTCCTTCTGCATAAAGGCACAGTGGTGATTATTAAATAGTCACTGTTTCATGCAGTCAGGTATGCCCAAAACACCAGCTTGGTTTGGCAGGAGTTTTTCAGCTTGAGGGAAAGTTACAGGAGAGATCAGCTCCCGGGTTACCCAGATGGGAGCTCTTGGAAGAAATCTATCCAAATGCTCACCTGAATCAGCACCGGGTCTGCCTTTTCCCATGTGGGCCCCAGTCAGCACCTTATAAAAAACCTGACTGAGATGGTGAACGAGTGCATTTTCTGCAAGCTCAACCATGAAAATGTCCCTAGATTTGCTATCAACTCCCCAAAAGGAAATTTATGACAAATTCGAGATAAAAAACCACAGTGCACAAGCAAAACATGACCCAAACTGGAATATGGTCAAGGTGGCAGAGCTGAGGGGCAGAGAGAAAAAAGAAAAAAAAAAGAAAAAAAGAAAAAAAAAAAAGCACTTGTGCATCCTACAAGATTTACCCCTAAAGCTTCTGAGCCTCAGCTTTCTGGCAGAGTGGATGATTTTCAGGGTCAGATGGCAGAGACAGAAAATAAGTTTACAGTCTCAGAGAGAGAGGCCAAAGCAAGCCTACAACTATCCAAAAAGAAAAAAAAGGTCATCTGTTTAGTTTTGTGATCACAGAAGAAGGAAAAATATTCCAGCTCATAAGTTTCCAGTAAGAAAGTCATCTTTGCCCTTTCAGAGATAGTGGGAATCTCTGGTCTGGTGACTGTTTTTCCTGGATCTTTGGGTCTTAAAGCTATCATCACTGAGTCCCAGGCTTGGTTTCTGAGGAAACCAGTAGCTGTTTCAGGCATTGGGTAATAGGATACACCCAGGGCAACATACCAATAGCTATAAAAGCATAAGCTTCAACATAGCATCCTGGAGAGGTCATTGTTTTTTCAAGACATTTCTCCATTCCTACACAAAACATATAGTCTAGCTAAGAGAATTCTCTATTATAAAGGCTAATGCTGAGAGAATATCATTAATACTTTAGGAAGCTTGAGCTGTTCGAGTACTCAGATATTCCTAAAGCTTCTGGCAGAGATGTAATGTTGGAACCAAACAAAACTAGGACTATTTACTTTACTTTTCATTTAATGGAAGCAAGTGTTACCTGGAATCCACCTCTTGCAATTTGTACAGGGGCTTACATGTAAAGAACAGAGCTGAGGAATAACTCATAATGTATTAACTGGAGTTTGCCTTCTTTCTTGTTCCTAAAATATTGGCAAGTAGGTTGCACTAGTCTCAGATTTATCTGAGGTTTAATTATTCATAATTTTCTTCATGACTTTTCCCCTCTGTGGGTGAAGTTCACCCTCCTGTGGAAGGCCCTAGCCCAAGCCTCCAAAACAGTATTTTAGGCCCACTCATGTCTTACTGCAGGAGAAACCTGGCATTAATGCAAAACTTTTACCTCTGATATTCTCTAGTAAAACACAAAAGTTTCCATTATTCACTCAGCTCTAAATACAATGATAATTTATTGACTATTTTATTGATACTGATGGAATACGCCACTTGAGTGCAAGGACAATACAGAAAGATACAGTCCTAGAAAGCTGGGAAGGATAGGAGGCATGATAGTGTAGCATTTTATGTCAAGTATATATTCATTAGCAGTGATATGTGGGCATACAGTGGAGACAGAAATAGTGATAATCAAGGACATTAAAAAGGCACAAAGCAGGAAAATTACTCTGGTGAGAGTATATCAGTAGGTAGCCTAATCTTTACGTATTTATATGGGTTTTCCATTGAAAACAGCAAATACAAACGAATTCCAAGTACATCAAGTTGATACACTTCTAGGAAAAACACAAATACAGCTCCCTAATATAATTGAAATAAAGACACCATCAGATGAGCAATGCATAATTTTAGAAAACTGCATTTAGAATTTCAAGAGCAAACGTTTCTTCCAAAATTATAAATACTCTTCAGAGTTATTTAGTCTTATACATTAGACAAGCAGACAGTATGATCTGTTTAGCTTATTCTCTCTAATTTTTATGAGGCTGTGCAGGAAATCTCCCTCTGCTGTGAGAAAAGAAATTATTTTCTTTTTATAAATAGGCCTTTACTGCTTTATAAATCCTTATATTTTGTCCTTTATACTTAAAAAATAAATCATTTTATTTACAACACCACAGTAAAATTTGATAGTTTATGCCTAATGCTGCCTCTAGATATGTACTTGTCAACTATAGGGAGGAGAAACAGGGTACATCTTTTTTTGTACCTGCTTGCAAAGTGGTTTTACACTGGATGGACAGTGTGGGAAGATTTCCCACAATGACACCTGATGTTGCTACTGTTTTAGGCTCTGCATTTGTGATTGCTAGTACCATAAAGACATAGTGGAAGGCAATGGAGAGGAGAGGAAGAGAATAAGGAGAGGGAAGAGGATAAAAGAACACATTAAGTTCTAACCCAGTTCTGCAATTGATTTTTGTGTGAGATGTTGAAAAAACCATTTAGTTTTTCTCCATTTTTCCTCCATTTTGAGACAGGGATCATAACCACATCCTGCTCACTGGGGTTTTGCAGAGCCTCATTCACAGGCATCCTCAATAGTCTGGGATCTGCTAGTGGGAGATGTTAAGAAGCACATTCATTTCCCTGTAACTCTGAGGCAACATCAGTGCCTTCCCTTCCACCTATCATTACATGCTGTCTGATCCAAACCCTCTGATTCCATCCAACAGTGCCATGAGATTTATTGTAACTGTTTTTTCTATGTAAGTACATTAGCCAAAGAGGATGAAGTAGTGAGAGACTTCTGTCTGGGCTTCAACTATTCTTAACTTAAAAGCCTTGTGTTTCACTTAGTAACCTCAGGTCTCACTTTGAGGGGGTGTTCATGTTTGTTCTTCAGCCACCTAATGTGACAGACAGTAACCTCAGGTCAAGCTTCTAGGACACTAAGATGATTGTTATTTTCACATGCTAGTCAAGTCAAGCCTTCCTTATCCTCTCCTTTTTCATTTTTTTATCTTTTTTTTTTCCCCTGATTAGTTTGCTTACTTTTCTAATGGTGTTGTATTTCTAGCCAGCACTCAGTATACAGATAAAACAGCTCTAATCTTATCACCAAGTCATCTCAGTTAATTGCTTTAAGTTTGTTAGCTACATAAGAAACTGAATCTCAGGTATTGAGCCATTTGTAGAAATGCAGAGCTGATAAAAGTCTGTGCAGTTGTGCTCTGAGATAGTAAGGCATTTAAGCTTCAAGTGAGTCACTGAGACTATTCAGATGCATAACAGCTTTACTGTAGGCCTCTTAAGGGCACTGTTAGACTTATAAAATGTGTGCACTGGCTGACACTGGAGGACTTGGACCTATATTCTGGACCCAGTCAATTTATGGTTTAAGGATGCTAAAGTCAGGCAAGTTTCATCAGAAATGAATTTTTCCTTTTTCTTGTGTCACTTTCCCTTCCTTCCAAAGTGTGAAAGTATGTTAGCTGTAAGCATTAACACAAATACAGCCAGCTGTTACATTGCACATTCAGTGCAGATATTTGGTGGCGCTGAGCCCACAGCTTCCATGCCCTTACCTTTGCTCTGTATTTTTTTTCATTTCTCATCTCTTTAATTGCAGTTAAACTTTAAAGCATTCTAGTCTTCTCTGAAGTGCTGAAGCTGGGCTGGAGGGAAAACATCACAGTTCTCTTTGAAGCTCAGCCCTTGGAGATGAACCAGTTGCTGAACCTGAGGACATGGTGGTGTCCCTCTGCAGATCAGACTGCTAAACTTCATAAAGTGATTGGGCTGCTCAAACATTCCTGTCTTCCATGGGACAGAAAAGGAAAAAAAAAATAAATAAAACTTTGTTTTACATTGACATTTTAAAAATCTTAATTTTACTTTTTAAATCTTAATTTAAATCTTAATTTTAACTCAGGAGCAAGAGAGCTAAGACATGTCTGCTGCCCCTTTCAAATGGGACTTTTGTCTTCAAGGAAAATATGGCTAGAAATTCAGAATCCCCTAAGAAGAGAAATGTTCAGTGTTACAGACTTTGGGATAACTGAGTGGAGGAATGGTGGATTCCATTATGAAATCTCAAAACATGGTGGTAGTCCACAGGAGATGGTGCTAGAAGAAAGAGATTACAGGCAAACATTACTGACTTGCTGACCTGTGAAAGCTGTTGAAACTTGCTAGTAATGTACACTCAAAGAGAGGTGATTGGAAGATAACATTTAAGCTTCAGAAAGCCCTGTCAGGCTCAAAACTGTATAAAAGAGAAGTGGTCATGACCAGCTAAGCAGTAGACTAGGATTGGTTGAGCAGGTATGAGAACAAAGTGGAAGTTGCTTCAGGACTAATGTAGTGAATTTCTTAGCAAGTTTTTTCTAAAGCCTTTTTCAAACACATGGCTACTCTGCAGGCTGGTAAAGAATGCAAGCAAACTGACATGCTGCAGCAGAGCATGCTACTGGCATCTCTTTGAACCTTAAACTGGGACCTCAAGGGCAGTATCCTTTCTTTGCATCAGTCTGATCTTGGCCCAAACCTGAATACACTGGAAGAACAGGTTTTAACCATCCCTTCTCTTGAACGAAGATCTACCAAAATGTTCTGCAGTCTGTTTGAGGAAGTATACTGGGTTTTGATACCCAAAAAAGCAGCGATGGTCTGCTCTCCTTAGACAGAAACTTTAGAAACTAGAAAATAGGAAATTTTTGAAAACAGAAACTCTGAACTTTATGGATGTAGACCTGGAGTCTCTTTTACTCTGTGAAAGGATCTTTAATATCTCTCTCATTCCTCTCAGTTCCAGAAAGCTTAGCAACCTGTATGTGTTAGTGAGCCCAAGCACATACCCAAATGCACCAGATTTTAGACAAGTTTGTATTTGCATCCAAACTGTTTCTCCATCTGCTCTTGTTAGTTATTACAGGCCATCCTCTGGAGTGAGGTATTCTAGCTGCCATAACATCTGTGAATGTTGTAATGAGGTTGGTTAGAATGTAACTCACTGAAGCAGCAAGAACTAATCACCGTATATTGATATAAGATTTGCAGAGCTTTAGATGGAGAGTGCTGCAATAATCTTCTGGGTGTGTATATGGGATAGGGGGTGGAGGGAATCGTGTATGTACACGTGTGGTAGTAAAATTACTCATTAGCTGCAGTAGGTCTCATTATCTTAGGGAAGCACATCAATGATTCACTGCTTAACAGGGTATTTGGAAATGACTGCTTATACACAGAAGGCAGCCTGAACCGATATCCTGTGCAGTCCATGAGCACCTGTCTTGGACTGGAGGAATTTTAACTGCCTCTATGTTGTCTCCCAGATACTGGAACTCCCTGAGTAACCTTGTGGCTTCACTGCTCAATTCAGTTCGCTCCATCGCCTCCCTGTTGCTGCTTCTCTTCCTCTTCATTATCATCTTCTCACTCCTGGGGATGCAGCTCTTTGGGGGCAAGTTTAACTTTGATGAGATGCAGACCAGGAGGAGTACATTCGACAACTTCCCCCAGTCCCTCCTTACTGTGTTTCAGGTAAGGGAACGAGTGATCTCAGTGGGGCAAACACATTGTGTTCCCATCGGGTGAGACAGAGAGCAGGTCCTGCACCCTTATGCTGCCGCCTGACAGTCCCCAAGACAGGCTATCAGGCTATCAGCTGCTAAAGTGGGCAACCAAAGCTAAAACCCCTGTGTGTATCAAGGCCACCAGGTCTTAGCAGGGTAGGACAAGATAATGGCCGTTGTCATGCCCCAGGGCGGCCAAAGTCCAACCCTGCAGCTGTCCTTCACCCGCCCACAGTGATGGGGAACAAATATCTGCTCACAGCACTAAAGAAGTAATCAAACAACCTTTAAGCTGACTGCAGTTTTGGGAGTGATCAACCAAGAGCATCAGGGTCAGGATTTCATGTGCAAGATGAAGGAAAGTAGCAGGGAGGGCTGTGCTGAGGACTGTCTTCAGTGCTATAGGTTGTGCAGCTTTTCTGAAACAACAGATATGAGAGGGAATGCCTGTAAGAGGTGGGGAGACTTGAACAGAGTTGTCTGGGAGAGCCATTTGGCTTCATCCATCATCTTTAAGGGGACATCTGCAGTTTTTTGATGGTTTGAGCGCAGATCCTTTTTGCATTCTCCTTATTCTGTTGTTTTTTTAATTTCCTAGTTGGACACAGACAGTGTCCAGCCATTCTGGGGGAGGGAGTGTTCTCTAGGATAATAGATATATTTGTGTTAACGGGGTTTTCAAATTCTCTTTGTGGTCTAACACTGTATCCCTTATTGGTGGGAATGTGTCATTTAGATCCTGACTGGGGAGGACTGGAATTCGGTGATGTATGATGGGATCATGGCTTATGGCGGCCCCTCTTTTCCAGGAATGTTGGTCTGTATTTACTTCATCATCCTCTTCATCTGTGGAAACTGTATCCTTTGATGCTACTCTTTTCTTCAAGGGGGGCTCAGTTTAAAACCACCCTTTACTACTTTGTCATGTCAGAAAATAATGAATTTCATACCTTACATTTTTACCTTTACCCTAGGTTTGAATTTGGCATTTGCACTGCTAGAATTTAAACAAGTTTGTTTAATTTTAGCTGGTGCTTAGGTGTATAAACAGTTGTAAGAGCCAGCTATGTGCCAGTTCCACGTGCTAGCTTTTACTTAGTATCTGTGCATGTGTAGTGTTTTTATTTTTCACTCCCCTTTATTCTGAAGAAAGCAGGGAAAAAAAAATTGATGAAACTAATCTACGTACCTACTGTACGTACTATATATTTTTGCTTAATTGCCTTTTCAGTAATATATTCTATGTGCTTTCATCCAAGCCTTATTTGGAATAAACATATGTATAATATACAATATGCTATATACAAATGCTGTAACAGGAGTAACATAGGTTTGACATAATTGATTTGTGTGATATCATATATTAATTAATGTATAAACTAACAAGAACCATGCTCCATTTCGGTCACTGCAACCTGTGTGTTCTTCAAACAGAAAACCGTGTGCTCTGTTATCTTCCAGCCTCTGTTGGTGTAAAGTATCTTCAGTTCTCTCTGGCTTCAAGGTGAAGTGAGGGCACTGTACATATCCCAGGAGGTACAAAGTCCATTGCATGAAAGTATTTTCATAGGAATTTGCATATAATATAGAGCTATGGTTCTGTTCCACATCTCAGATTGCTCCTAATTTGTTCATGTTTAGTTTCTGCCTCCCTAATAAATGGTCCTCCTGTGTCAGAGGTGACATTTCTTTTTATATTTTCTTCTATAAAGCCACCTTGTAGTCTTAGCCCAGCTCTTGTGGCCTTTCCTCATAATTCATATCTCTCAAACCCTGTTATTTGACCTGCATGCCCTCTCTTCAAAGTGCGATGGTGCAGTTTCACTTATCTGAAGGTCAAGGCAGGCTGGCTGCCTGACAGCTTAAAAAAGCTACAATTTGGATCTCCTTGTGAACTACAGAGGAAAATGTGAACCAGCTCCACATGCTGGCTGAGTTTGGAGCCATTAGACCTTGGAGCCCAGGGAGAGGATGGCTGTAGTTCCAGACTAAGCCTTGAATGGGGGTTTGCTTAAAAGTTTTAATGGTGCAATAAGACCCAACCTCAATAAATTTATAAAATAAGCTGAAGTTCAGATTTCTAACATGAGATCTGAACATGGACTGGCAAAACAAGAAAACAGTTGCGATTCCTTTCCTTTCAGCTACATGAGCATGACTGGCCATGCGTGGACTCTCTGCTAGGAGGTGGCAGAGCTGTCAGCTCAACCCGTCAATGCCCAGACTAAATTAATTTCCTTTTGTTTGCCTCAGAAATGCTAATGAGAGTGCTGTGGTTGCTGTGCATAAAATCCACTCATATCTGTGGGAATAGCTATAATGAGGTTGTTCAACCTTTGGTACATAGGCCAAAACTGGAAAGCTCAGGTGTCTTATGATATAAGGCTCTTGAATATGAGAGTGCTTTAATAAAAGTGACCTAAGCTGTCAAAGAAGCAAAGCATTCAGTGCTGCCCTTATCTTCAGTGGGATTTGTTGCACAAAGTGACTCTGGGGAAATTGGAAGCTAAAATATAAGTCTGGATGGTTTATATCAGCTGCTCTGCTGTGAAACTTTGGAAACCTCCCAGAGTGTGTTAGCCATTTGGATGGAATGTGTAGGTTTGTGCATGCTGGATATGCCCATCCTGAACATTTGTGTGCAATGGAAATTTCGAAAATCCAATCTGATAACAGGTTGCTAAAAATTTTCCATTAGGAAACCTTTGGTGTAATGTTGTTCTGCAGTTTTCAAAGCCCGTTTTCTTTAAGTAGCACATAGATAGCCTGCTGAATGTATTTTTGGCCATTGCTGTGGACAACCTTGCTGATGCTGAGAGTTTAACATCTGCACAGAAAGAGGAGGAAGAGGAAAAAGAAAGGAAAAAGCTAGCTAGGTAAATCCATTTGCATACACCTATCTACACTCATATGCATGCAGTCCTGTGAGTATAATTAAACACATTATCCACATATATAAAAGTGTGTGTGTATATGCAATATATATGTATAACTTCTCCATCGGTGTGTATAGATTATATATATGTGATTAATTATATATGGAATTATGTATACATACAGTTTTATGTAAAAGAATTCAAAACTAAAGGACAAACATGTGTCGTGAGCTGGGAGTCCTCGCAGTTGCAATGATGAGAGCAGAGAAAAGGAAGTCTGGGTGATTGATGAGTTTTCATGGCACCAGCAGAGAATGAGTGTGAAATGGTGTCAATGTTACAATTCCATTTGAATTTCCTGTTTCCTTCTGATTGCCTCGGACCACAAGGCATATTTTCAGACTGTCACTGCCAGGAAAATATTCAGCAGATTCCTTCTTTTCAGATGACACATGCTGTTCTTATCTTGTCAGTTGTTTTAGAGTTTCTGTAGACTCTTAGAAGGCATGGGCTGGATGTAGAGCTTCTCTTTCATTCCAAGCTGCCAACAGCAGGAAAGCCTCTTCTTAGTGGTTATTTCTATTCATTGTCTTCCAGGCTCCGTGGAGTAGATCTTTTGTGCAGATCTTTCTGCTGTGTCCTACATGCTAATCAGCAGGTTTCCCGGGCTTTGGGAGTGCAGTGAGGGGCATAACTTTGTAGACAACCTAGTAGAAGTCCACAAGATATGGGTTGAAATTGGTTCATGCCTTTGTCATTGGGTGAACAAAAGGATCTCTGCTGATAAACCTAGATTATGTGTGTGCACAAACACACAGGCACATACTTCCCAAACATGTGCATGGACTCCCACACGCCATTGAGAACACTATAAAATCGAAGGATGCTACACAGAGTTAGAGCAGAGTCTCTGCCTTTGCCTGCAGATGATGAAGCAGGTGGAGGTGGTATGTAAGCTGGACTCAGAATGGAGGTGCCAGCCAGCTGATCATTATCGTGGTGTGTGCTGTACTACACAAAGTCCCTGAAATGAAAAGAATTTTCACCTTTCTAACTCTTTGCTTCTTATCTTGTAAATTTGTTAGAACTGCTAGTCCCGAAAAGAAACAGGAGATAGAAAAAACAGCTGTGGAGGAGGAGACAAAGGAGGAGAAAATTGAGCTGAAATCAATCACCGCTGATGGAGAATCCCCGCCTGCTACCAAGGTAAGATCTGCTGTCAGCCAGCACTCTGTGCAGTGATGGCATGAACAGCTTGGGTTTCTGAGGGAACGAATACCCTCTGCTTTGTCTGATAAAGGCTTTGCTGCTTCTCCTTCCATTTCTGCCAGATCAACGTGGATGATTATCAGCCCAATGAAAATGAAGAAAAGAGCCCATATACCACAACAGAAGCACCAGGTATATATCTTTTTCCTCTTATGCCTTATTCAGCAAAGAGAAGCTCAAGTCGCTAATGCACATAAAGCCAAATCGGTATGCTGAACATGTAATGTTCTCATGATGGAACAGGGTGATGTGCTTGCCTGTGTTTGCACAGGTGTAGACTTGGTCCTTTGTTATCCCTGTACTGATTTGGTTCTCTGTAAAGCTGTATGTTTCCAGATACAGAGCTTTACAGAAAACCAAATCAAATCATATATGAATCTCTGTACATGACAATATAAATATGACTGTGGTTAGTCTATTTTTTTCAGTACTCAGTGATCAGGGGAGATTGACAACAGATACTCATAAAAAGTAAATTGCAGGATGCCTTTTGCACATTTATCTGACAAAAATAGTGTGACGTTAACATAATTCTAAAGGCATTAGGTCTCAGCCTAGAACTAGGGAAAAAAAAAAAAAAACAAATTAGAGCATTAGTTAGACTAGTTTTCAAGTCAGTTGGACCTTATTAACTCCATCCTCAGATGCTTAAAAGATTGGTTGAAGAAATCTCAGAACTTGAAGCAGTTTTTCTTCAAGAGATTCTGAATGGGGTGTGACGTTGGAGTAGAAGAATTGTATACTAGTGAGTTCAATTTCCATTCTTGGAAGAGTGCTGGAACAAATGATTAAACAAGCTATATGACTGCAAGATAAGGAGATCACTAGCAGTTAACATAGATTTCCCAGGAAGAAATCACGTCCAACCACCCATATTTTCTTCTAAAAGAGGCTTGCAAGACTTGTAGACAGGAGAAAAGAAGTAGATCTCATACTCTTTAGCTTTGCTAAGGCTTTTGACAGTCTCTTATGACGTTCTCATAAGACAGCTAGAAAACATGGTCTAGACGCTTGGGAGAGAAATTAGTCAGATTATTTATGTGGAGAGTAGTGATCACCCAAGCAAGGTTTTACAGCACAAGAGCCAGTCCCAAGTTCATTTCAGTTCATTGTTAATGACCTGAATGATGGAAGAGGAAATATGCTTAATACATTTGCAGATGACATGAAGCTAGGAAGGACAGGAAGCATGCTGGAGGGCAACATTAGAATTCAAGGAGCTCTTGAGGAACTGGATAAATGGTCTAAATAAAATTGAAAGTGCCAGGCTCTGCACATAGACAGGAATAAACAATTCACAAATAAAAGATCTTAGGTGACAGCTATTTAGGTAAGAGTCCTTGAGAAAAGAATCTGAACCTTGTGATCACAAGCTCAACAGGTGCCAACAATGTTTTGCTATCTTTCAAAAGGTAAGCAAATAGTAAGATTTATAAAATGTGAAAACATGACTAGTCCAGTTACAGGTTTCTTCTAACTTTCCAATGAAAGCTAATTGGAGCAAAGCAACAGTTTGTTTTGGGTTTGGGTTTTGTTTTTTTTTTTTTTCTGTTCACCACTGATAAGATTTCACCTGGGATATTGTGTCTCATTTTGGGTGCTTTGCTTAGAAGTGAAGATGAAGTGGATGGAGTGTAGAAGAGCATGGAGTAAACAGTGCTAGTAGGAAGCAAGAACTAAGATTAAAAAATTGTGGTCGTTTGAGCTAGGGAAGGCAGGCGAAACATCTTCAGAAGAATAAAAGCCTTTTACAGGTAGGAGGCGAATTATCCCTGTTATGAAGAAGTAACAGATTTGAGATTCACATCAGAGGAGAATTTTCTAATGGTGAGGCCATAAAAGATCATGAAGATGGTTGTAGAAGCCCAGCATCACTAAATGTTGTTAAGAACACGTCAGAAAAATATCTGCCAGAAAAGGCTTAGATATAATAACATGTTGATCCGGGTTTAGCAGAGGCATGAACCAGGCGGCCTTTTATGATCCTTTCCTGCTCTTCTGCATTCCTATGATTATGTAACAGGCTGCAATAGATAATAAAATGTATTCTCTGCTACTCCACGATTCCTAATAAACATCTCATAATAGCTTGATCTAGTAGGGTAAAAACAAAAAAATTAAAAGACAAGATTGTTCATTTTAAGTAGATGGACTTAAAAAAGTAAGGGTTTCAAAGAAGCAAAAAGGAAAACCAGTCATTGTGTTTGATTTTCAGTACAAAACATCCCTGTATTGTTTTCATCTTGCTTGTATTCATCTGTATTTATAGCCCATTTATCAGGAATAGAGTGTGGTTCCAACACCATGCAATATTATTTTTACATTACCTAGGGCAGATCACCCTGGCTTTAATCTTCCCAGCACCTCTGCAGACACAGTTACTTACTGGACACTCATCTCCAGTTGCTAAGGGGATTGTGGGAGTCTTTAGTCAGAACCACAAATTAAAACAGCTTGATACAGTTCTGTTTCTGTTTCTTATCTGGCTTGGATTTGCAGAGCACTCAATTTTTTAAAGTGAAGGTACCTGTATATCAAATCTAAGCCTACTGATAATAGAATTGTGTTTTAGTTACGTTCTGTGGATAGCTTAGAAATAGTCCAGCATGTGAACTACATGACAAAAACTACATCTACAGTTTGTGTGATGGACATTATCTGCTGCTGTGCATAGGCTTAGAGTGCCGAAAAATAAATAAAACCTCTTTTCACTCTTGCCTTGGGATGCCAGTTGCTGGCTGGGCAACTTTTGAACAGAACTTAAAATTTGAATGGATGGTCAGGTTTTCTTCTGTCTCCTAAAGTATTAGAAATGCAAAGTGTGAGCATCTTGGTTGTTTGCCATTGTACAGTGTCATTTCTAAATAGGCCTATTCCCTGAATTGTTTATCATTTTTTTGTGAAAAGTGAAGTTGATCTCTAGCAGCTCACAAAATTATCTGACCACTTCTTACAGAGTTTGTGGAAGTCAATCATAAGACTTAGATGCAGTAAAGTTTAAATCCTCTGTGAGATCAGATCTACCTTAGTCATGCATTCCATTCTGCTGTATAAAGCTCAGAAACACCAAAGCCTTCTCAGAGCTGTTGTGGAATATCACATCTGCTTTGTGTAGTCAGTTCTGGGTAACAAAGCTCCAAGGTTTTCCTCAGCATTAGCAAGCAAAAATTTCCCAATCCCCACATGTAGCCCTGTCCACTTCCTTTGTGGCCATCTGACCAATCCAAAATCCTTCTGCTGATATCTGATTGGTCCATCTGTGGTACAGGAGATTCTGTGTGGCCATATATATGGCCCATCTGGGAACATCTCTTCTATTCCCCACTTGCCCATGGATCTATTTCAATTGCACTTTGAGTGAAGAATCTTATTGCTTCTTAGATGCAGTCAGCTGGTCCAAACTATTTTCTGTTTATGATTTAAGCTGTTAATGCCTGTGACCCTTCCATGGCTGTGTATCATTCTATGCTCTGAAATTATCCTTCACCCTAACACCATGTTAAAAAAAAAAAAAAAATTGAAATGGTCACTTCATTTGTCTTTCCCTTTATTCTTTCAATCTGCCTTGCTCAATTTCCTATTTCTTTCAGCTGCGTCAACCAATTTTCTCAATAACCTCTTCTGACTATGTTTGCTACACAGTGTTTCTCTTAGCCCCCAGAATATTCTGTGTACTTACAGCTCATCACATCACCTAGCCTCTTTTTTGGAAGGAGAGACTAGTTATTCCAGAGATTTGTGTAGACTAGAAGGATAATTATGATGATATGTTTATTGTAGGAAGACATGGAGCTAGTCCTGCAGTCTAGTACAGAAACAAAGAATTCAGAATGTCACATGAAGGTGAAAGCTTGGAATGATTCATGGGAGCTTGAAGCAAAGCAATGCCCTTACACAGGAGTTCTGGTCTTTGTACCGTAAAAAAAAAATAAAATCCTCATCATTGGATTTCTCACTGAAGCTGCACTGTAGCCTGTGTATGCTTATGGTTTCACAACCAAAGGACATCACCATTCTAATGAAGCATAATTCAAAATGACAGTCACAGATTTGAATTTCCTTGAACTTTAGGAGAGTTCAAACCTATATCTGAACTTGGCTGCTCTGAGTCACGGTTCTTTCTGGTTTCATGACAAGCTTGATTCCAATGGTCACTTTTTAAACATAAATGTAGCTTAGGTCTGGAATCCAGTGAAAGAACAAGTGTAGGATTGCAGCCGATATGCTGCCCAGCCCATCTGTGAATATCATGTTGACCTTTGCTTGTACAAATGCTGGCAACTGTGCAAGGTACTGTTTCTATATGCAGGTAGATAGCTTGGGCAGTGACCTGAGGTGAGGCCGCAATCACGCTATTCTTTGCACATTTGGTCCTCAGTGTTTTCTTTCTTCTGTGCCTTGGACCCTACTTGAAATGAAAAATATTTAGAACATTGTTCTTTATGTATGAGTGAGGAACTGAATGTGTTTTCCAGCCTGAAGGTAAGTGGCTGCCAGAATCATTAATATATTACTTGATGCATGGCAGACACAAAAAAAAGGGGAGAGGAACAATGTCCTTTATGGTCTTCATGGGGCTGATGCTTCTGCTAAAAGTCCATTTCCCTGAGGCGTTGTTCCATCCCCGTTGGAAAGTGTATTTTAAGCATTTGTTGTGGTTTAGGGCCAGCCGGCAACTAGGCGCCAGAAGGCTGCTGGCTCAATCCTCTCAACCCCTTCTCAATAGAATGGGAAGGGAATCAGGAGAAAAAGGTAAAACCCTATTGGGTTTTTTTCTGAGTAAAAGAAAAAGAGTGATCTAACAGTGAAGACACAGAACAAGGACCCAAAATACTAGTCTTCTTAAGTAAGAGTCTCAAATATCCCACATGAACATGAGCATCAGTATTCTGAACTGTTAAGAAAAAGAATTTGCTTACCTAAGTCGTTGTCAGCCAACTCTGAAACCTGTAGATAAAAGGTACAAGTGCAAAGTATTGTAATATTATATAAATATGAGCATTAACACCAATTTTACAAATGCTATGCACAAAAGTACTTCTAAAAATGTTTCTTCCACCAATAAAGCCAGTATTGTAAAGTGTATTACAACATAAAATTGAGCTCTTAAAAAATAAACCGCCTTAAAAAGCACAAACTATGTGTACCAGATCAAACATTTATACAAAAATCTATCAAGTGAATTTGAGCTGAATTCTCACTGCTGGAAACATAAAGAAATAATCTTATTTGCATGTAATAATGACATGCATTGAAAGGGCCACTTTTCTCCTGCCTAAAACATTTAGATTAGGATATGTGCTGATTCATCTGTTCTTTCTGATGTGTCCATTACCAGATCAAGTACAGCACCTGACCCTAAAGGGAAAAGGCTCTTCCTGGAATTTATCTGATTTTATGGACTTAAGATAAACCTTTTAACTAGAGTTTCCTCCTTTGCATTGCCTGGAAAATGAATCAGTTGCATCTAACCTGTCAGGCTCCTTCCTTAAAATATTTTTTTCCAATGTCTTGCTGATTAAGTGAGAGGATTGAGATCTTTAAAACAGCAAAATCCTACCTTGTCATTTGCAAGATAGCATCTGACCTCAGCAGGTAGAGTAAATCCTCAAAGATGGAAGGTTCTCTTTCATGTACCACTTAGGCCCCATCTGCATTTTTTTTTGAGGGTGCTCACTGATCTGCACAGTGCCTGGAGATCTGATCCATAGGCATCAGGTTTGAGAGTCTCAGCCTTTTTTACCACCTTTTCAGTCTCACCCCCACTGAATTATGAAAAGGGATCATTTTAAGAATTTTTAATTGTTGTAAGTTGAAGTGCCCGTGCTCCATGTTTGCTTTGGGGCATACATGCACTCGAGCAGATACTGTCCCATATGGGGCAGTGGCTCCATGGAGAGCCTTCCAAGGAGGAGAAAAACAGGTGTTAGTAAACTAGAGATATGATCTGAAGAAAGTAAGATGCGGTTCAATAATGGTGAGGTCCAAGTACCACTCTTGGGAATAGCCAGCAATACAAATACAGCAGAGGGGAGTGACAGGGGTAAATAATCTGTGCTTTGTGCAAATCAGAAACTGATGGCAAATTAATGCCAGGGTGTATTGCAAAGAAGTGTCCATGAAGGAGATTTAAACGGGAAGATAATAGTATAAAATCTGAGAAGTGATCCAGCTCTCCTCTGCACCAGTAAAACCTCAACTGCAGGTTAATCCTGCAGATAATCTGAGGGAAAGTGGTAAGAATGACCAGAGCCCTGGGGAACACAACATCTCAGCGAAAACTATTGTTTTGCTCTAGGAACCAGAAATCCTCAGAGAGGCATAATGTCCTCAAGTATGTAAAAGCCTTCAGCAAGAGGAAGGGAATACTCGTATTTTCTGTGTCCATGGAAAATAAAAGGATAAGGGATTTAGACCATAGCAAAAATTATTCAAATCAGTCATTAAAAGAAGGGGTTTTTTTGTAGAAGGGACAGTGAAGCATCTGAGGAGAGTGTTGTGAGATTAATGTGTGTTTGGCAGCAGTCATGATTTTACAGAGAAACTATATCAATGTCTGCCAAAGTAACCACTGGACAGTGGATGCTGCCTTGGAAAAAGGAAGTAGACAAGGAACCTCAACCTTTCATCACACTATCTCAATGATTCTTAGTTTTTAGCTCTTGCTATGACAGGGACAAATACCCTAGTACTCCATAAAGGGTTGTATTTCGCATTAAAAGACAAAAATACTTCTTGCAACAGAGGAAGATGAGGAAGAACCTGAGATGCCTGTTGGCCCTCGACCTCGCCCGATGTCTGAACTGCACCTCAAGGAAAAGGCTGTGCCCATGCCTGATGCCAGTGCTTTTTTCATCTTCAGTCCTAACAACAGGTATTTAAGAGACTGCTTAGCTGGAACAAGGAGGCGGAGAGCAGGTAACCCTTTCAGGCTGAGCCCCAGAGGTTATGTGGTGCAGAGCTCCCTTCCAGCACTTCATACCAGAGACCTCTTTTGACCAGTCTCTCCTTTAAAGGCTTTGGCATGAAATCCTCATGAAAGCACAACTGTTAGGGAGCCCCTTGACTATATTCAGTAGAAGTTCATGGCACCTGTAAGGCTGATTGAAGATATAAATTATGAAAGCTTCAGAAACAAGGGACTTGGAGAAAAGTCAGTAATTGGAATTCCCCAGTGTATTCATGTCCAAATTGCAAGCAAGCCATCATGCAATCAGTCAAGCATGAGATAGGAGCTTCCTGTCCTAATGGCTGCTCAAAATCCACTCCCAGTAAGGAGTTCATGTATCTCTACTCATCCCTATGCATCTAGAATGAGCATAGAAGAAAAGGAAAGAGGAGGAGAGCCCATAGCTCTGAGGGGAATAATTCTTCCCTCATACTTTTCTCTTGGGCTCCTGCAATGTGGCTTCACGTTGTCTCAGCTGTCTTTCCAACACAGATATGTGAGACCAGCACTGTGAGTGGAGGGCTGTACTATGACACAGGAGAATATAACTTTCCAAGGGTGCAGAAATAAGCTCATTGCACAGTAGTCTGTGCAGTACCATGTATGCCAACATCTCCCGTGGGGACTTGGCCTCCAAACAGCTCCAAAGTAAGGCAAGGCTGTAAAAGCACAGATGAATTCAGCGCCAGTCTTTCCACAGCAGGGCTTGTGCCACTCCTCCTTAGGTATTTGCAGCAGGGAGGGACTGATGATGACTGGGACTCATGGACTCTAATACCAGCTTTGCCACCCACCCACTGTCTCTTGTTGACGAAGTAAATTAACCTCTGCAATCATCTGTAAAATCGCTATAATAGGGGTTTGGAGGCTTAACAGCCAAAAGTAGAGCTAAATAAATCAATGAAGTGCCTCTACAATTATGCATAGGACTGTTATGAGGTTTAACTCCTCATCTCCTGATACCAGCATATGGAAGATGCTGTAATGGTCTCCAGTAAGCATGCTGCTGTTTAATGGGAGACTACTACTTCTTTACGTACTAGTTTCACATTAAGAGCACCAAGAACTTTATATTGAGCTGATATTTAGCAGACACCTTGTATGACATGATGTCCTCCCAGAAGCCCTTTGCAAATCCCAGCCTGCCCTATATCCATTTGGCCTGCTTGGTGCCCTGTTAGCAAGGTAGATCCCCACTAGCTCCTGCTCACTGATACTCCAGCTCAGAAAGATGGTCACCCTGGAGCCTGTTTCTGCTGCTTCCCCCCTAAATTAACAGGGAATGGTTCCACGCATAGAAGCAAGGGATGTGATTTTGCATTGGCAGTTTTCAGACCACATCTAAATCACAAAAGGCTCTGTCAGGATGGAGTGACTGTTCTCCATTCAAACGCAGGGAGCGTGAGTCCTGCAGCAGCCGATCGCTCCGAGTGCACCCCTGCATGACACAGAGAGCCAAGGCTGCCCAGCACCCAGCAGGGTGAGCTGGCACAGCTGCCTGAGCCCATCGTTCTCCCTGCTGCTGGGGCAGAGGGAAGCTACTCTGCAGAGCAATCCTCCAGGACCAGCCTTGCTGGCAAAAGAGGAGGGGGGAAAGGTTTCCTAGGTCTTGCCATTCTCTGAGAGATAAAGTTGTGCCTCTCCTTTCTCTTACAGGTTTCGTGTCCACTGCCATCGAATCGTTAACGATAACATTTTCACCAACCTGATCCTATTTTTCATCTTGCTCAGCAGCATCTCCCTGGCAGCTGAGGACCCCGTTCGACACCTCTCCTTTAGGAACCAAGTATGCTTCCCACCCTCCTTCCCTCACTGTGTATTAGAAGTATGGTAAAAGCAGATCATGAGTTGAAGCCAGGCAAAGCAGAAAAGACTGCATCAGAGGCTTTGGGAGTGTCTCTCATCCCTATTTGTGGCTTTTGTAGGCTGTGTGTAAAATCTTTGGGTTTTGCAGGGAAAATGAGGCAGTCCAAAATTTGGCCTCTAGTTCATTTCAGAAATATATGTAGGGGTAAGAAGGGCAGGAGGCTGAAGCAAAATTATTGTTCCTGGGGATTGAGGCATTACAAATGGGCTGTAGAAAAATTGATTGGAATACAAATAATTCTAATCTGGGGGATTTTCAGGTTCTCTTTGGAACATTTGCTCTCCTGCCACGTGCTTTCTTTTGAATTTAAAAGCCCAGGGCTTGATTTTCACTTTGTTTACACTGGTGTACATCAGGAGTAACATTCTTGAGTTTGATGCAGTCACTCTGGGGGAAGTTGGTGTCATCTAGGTTAGAACCAGACTATTTGAACACAGGCTCCAAAGCTCAAAATAATTTTTAGAAAATATGCTGTGCTCCTCTCCTCACCATCCTGGCGGAAGGAGAGGAAGCCATACAGCACGGAGATACGTTCTCCCTTTCATTCTTGACCATTCTTATTAGCTTTCTGAAAAGTTCAGTGCTCCCTTAACTTTGCCAATGGTTGTTTCCATTAATCCGGCATCATTGCAGAAATCAGAAGAGTCAGCAGTCGTATGTGAGACTTTTGATCTCTTCTGTCTGCAGTGGTATTTTGGTGCCTTTATGCTGGAAGAGCTTGCTAGGCTTAAAGAGTGGGACATTTTTTTTGTTGTTGATTAATAATAAAACCTTAATTTAAAGCTCAATGTTCAACCTCCCTGAAATATCCTAGCCTGAGCATGCATTTAAACACACAAGTGCATGCAAAGAATGTGTTAATGGAGGTTTATTCCTGAGCCTATCTCAAAACTGCTGTGCATTTTGTCCTGAAATAATGTCACTAAACGATATGGTCAAACCTGTGTCACCAAAGACCCACTTGTGCGCGGCTAAGCATGCCCACCGTGGAGGGATAAATCCATGTCAATATGTATTAGCACTGCAGCATGACGTCAGCTGGCATATGGGCTTCTGACATGACACAGGAGCTGCCGCAGAAAGATTTAAATGAGGAAAAAAAAAAAGTAGTCAAAGCTGGTTGTCCTGGATAAAAGAGATGAAGGTTTGTTTATTTGAAGCCACTGGTGTTGCATGAAAATAAGCGTTTCAGTTTTTCAGGTACATATTTTTAAAATGTATCCTACAAGGGGACAATGGCAGGATGTTTGGGTTGCAAATGACATCTGCCTTTACACTTTGACAATAGAACAGTAAGATGGTGTCCTGCCCTGTGCCCACACAGAGGCCTGAGAGGAAAAGAAAGAAAGTGAGCTGAAAGCAAACTGCCTCTACCTTTGGTCTGGGACACATAACGAGGCACTAACCTGTGCCCAAGGACTCCTGCAGACTAGTGCTGCTGTTGACACAGTCCCAGAGCAGGAAGACAGGAAGGGCTAGTGAAGAGGCTTCAACACTGCCTCTGTCCCAGGGTGGGCTCGTGGCTGCATCTTTCTTGTGTCACATAGGGCTCATGCAGCAAGTTTTTGGAAGTGCCTGCCCAGTCTGATCAAGCAGCCTTCAAAGCCCAAGCAAGTTCTAAGGCTTTGTGTGTTCACATTATTCTCCTTTTTGCACCTTGGCAAGATGCTCATTCATTTTAAATATTCTAGAGTAAATGTATATTTAGATAATAATAAACATGCCTGCTGATAAATGGTACTGCCTGCACAGGTGGAGCAGGGATGATTTTCATTAGGCCCGATTTCATCTGTAAGGGACATTTTTACTAGCTGCAGCTTTGGGGCCAGATTCACCAGTATGCTCTAGTTACTTTGCAGTGCTCTGGTGATATAAAGCAGCTGCAGGTACAGCTTCATCATCCACTTTAATCAATTTTATGGGTTCTTTATGTTGGCAAAGTCATGCAAAGCAGCCTGAGAGTATCCATGAATCTAGGCCATTGGTTATGAAATTATTCCATTGGTATAATAACCAAATGTCAGGATCTACAAGGCAGCAATGCAAGGGGCCATTTCCAGTTATAATGAGCATAAATTAATATAGGATGCAATTGAGATCTATACATCCTTTAAATGGTCCTTTTTTAATTCTCTAAGTTGCAAAAATTTACAGAGCCCAAGACAGCCTTGAAGGAGTGAAAAAAAACGGAGGTCAAAAATTGAACAGTGACCTGAAGAATTTTGTTAGACAGTAGCAGTAAGTGATATATTCCCCCCATTTTACATTCAACATCTGTAAATTAGTCTAGACTTGGATCATGCTAAAATAGTGCAATCTAAAATAACCCTGTGGTTTGCACCACTGCTTACTTTAGTGGCATACTAAAGTGTAAGAATCTAGCCACCTATAAATCTGAGTTAGGATATGGGCATTGAGATGCAATAAAAACCTGTGGGATGGGAGAGGACAGTTTGCTATTGTGTGTTTACTAGTGTTTTATCAGTAAATGTTTAAATTTCACGAATTATTAGTTTTCTACAGCTTCCATATATTTGCCTTCCAGTTTAGTCCTTGGTTATGGTAAAACAATAGTAATCCAAGGGTACAATACTTTTGATTTTCACTGTTTGTAGTGCAGATAACATTGGGATACATTAGAAACAATGAGAGTTCCCGTAAGTCAATAAGAAAATTCCCATTCGCTTTTGTGGGATGCCAACTGACTGGTACTGAAAGATGTTTCTGTCTTTGATGCTGCTACTTTGAAAATCACTTTACACTTCCAAACTTGCTGTTGCCTTATGTGATACTCTAGGGACACTTTTTGTGGTCTGTTATGCATGCCACCAATATCCTCATCAACAGGTCTAAGTTCATGGGAATGATGAGAGTTTGTTTGCCTGTTATCCAAGATGCCAACAGAAAGATGCAAGATCTAAGTTAGGCACCTTTAGCACATGACGAAATTATGGCTGCAATACAAAAATCTAGGATTCTGTTCAATTGGCAGAGTCTTTGTTGTTCATCATAATCCAGGGCAAATCAGGATAGAGGGAAAAAAAATAGCTAGAGCATGAATTTGCAGTTTGCTTTTCTTCCTTTGTGAGAGGCACAGAACAAGCCTGGATGGAAGTTAATAAGAAGGAATCTCATGTTTTCCACTGAGAGACTAGACATCCTTATAGTCTCAGTTTAGAAGATTATTTTGGGAAAACCCTTGAATCATCTGTTCTTTATCAGATTTTAAGGGAAAAAAAATTAAATAAATATAAAAGGAAATAAAGACAATTCTACATCAACAACCAAAAATGTATTTTGCCTCTAGAGCCCTCCTGGGAAAAGATTTCATGTAATGTGTTTCTTGCCCTCTGTGCCAGGACC